CTCAAAAACTTCCAAAGTCTTAGAAAAAACAAAACACATGTTGGTAAACTTCAAAAGATTTCTTAGTCTTCAGTGAATCAAAAAGTTTTTTGTCAACATTCAAAGAGAGCACGGGTGTCAAACTCAAGGCCCGGGGGGCCAGATGTGGCCCACAACATCATTTTATGTGGCAAATCATGTACGTTGATTTTATGTTTCTTGCAAATTGTCTTCACTTTGTATGTTGCACATACAGTGCATTTGACAATAAAGTTGTACTTGACTTGACTTGACTTCACAACACTGACATATGAGATACTGGAAGATTTTTTTGTTCAGAATCCCCTTTTAAAATAAACTGAAGCATCATTGAACAAACAATTTACTGGCTTCTGATTTCAAAAATACTTATCCAACAATTAGTTGTATAAGTGATAACATCAGGTGATCATACATTTGTATGAATGCACAGACATAACAGCCCTCCAAGGGAAACCATAGCTACAGTGTGGCCCGCGACAAAAATGAGTGTGACACCCCTGGTTTGGAGTCTCTGTTGAAAACTTCTCATATTTTGTTAAAATTGACTTTTTAAATCATCAGATACATATATGAGGAGCTAAAGAAACTTTTGGTAAACATTAAAGAAAAGTTTGATACTTCCAAAAAACAAACGCATATCGTCATAAAATTACCCAATCCAAGGCTAATCCTCATTCACGCTATAAATAAATTACTCGCACTGTCAAGTTCCGTAAATGGCCAACCCTTTTATATCACCGTCAAGTGATCAGACCTACGCAGGTGGTGAGATAACACCTCTCGCAAACGGCTTATCTCACCACTCGCCAGGATTGAGTCATAAGCGTTATCTCCCGCGGGCATTGAAGGCATCCCGCACACCAGTTTGACTTCGGACTGCTTCCTATTCACATTTCCAATACGCCCAGTGGCGTGATCAGGATGACAAACTGTTGATCACTGCATTAGGTATGCCTGCGCTATTCACGACTATTTTGACTCATTTATGTCATTAACGTATGAATAACAATAATCATAATGATACATCATAATAATAATCGTAAATTTGGTAGGTGGCACGGTGGACGACTGGTTAGCACGTTTGCTTCACAGGTTCATGTTTCGATTCCAGGCTCTGGCATACCTGTGTAGAGTTTGCATATTCTCCCTGTGCCTGCATGGGTTTTCTCCGGGTGCTCCATTAAATAACCTTTATTTTGTGTGCCGCGCTACACCTCCTCATTTTCCTTCTCCTCCACCTCCAGCACAATGGCAGACGTATTGATCGTGACCTGACGTGACAGCGGTATTGATCGGCATTCCCGAGATGAGCGGTGAGAGACAGGCAGATCGCCTTCAATGCTGACAACATCGCAGCAAAGTGAAAGTCTGTAGACAGCCGGCGGTTAAAATGCAACAAAATACCGCAAAATGGGAACCAGGGAATTCCCTGCTTGCAGTCCCCGTAATTATAAAACTCCGTGTGTCTCAGTGGACTCCTTGGGAACGGGGGAAAAAAAATTTAAACCACCTTTGCGTCCGTCGCCTTTATTTTCTCAGTGCTTTATTTCTTGTTTAAACATGAAATGTGCTAAATTTATTTTTACACTTGTATGAGAGTGTTAAAGTGCATGTGACTCAATCCCTACCTCGATTTGAAACCCAACAGCAGCGATGGATAACTGGCGGCCTGTGTCCACACCTGGAGTGGCCCTCGATTAATTTTTGAAAATAAAAATAGCAGAGCAGTTTTAAGTTGTATTAACAATGACCACTAGATTGAAACCCTGACTTCAAACCTTATTTTGAAAACCTAACCCTGGATTCAAATACTAACCTGGCTTAAAAGTCTACTTTTTGAAACCCTAAGCCTTGCTAGAAAACCGAACCGTGACTTGAAACCCTACTGTGAAATGGTAACCTTTGTTAGAAAGCCTACCTATGGCTTGGAACTGTTTTTAGAAATTCCAACTCTGATTTGAAACCCTACTTCTGAAACTCTAAACCTTACTTAAAATCATAACCCTGACACGAAACCCTAAAGCGAAATCCAAGTCATTGCTTGAAATCCTACTCTGAAACCCTAACCCTACTTTGAAACCCTAATCTTGGTTTCAAACTAACCCTGGCTGGAAGTCTTCATTTGAAACCTTAACCCTGAATTGAAACACTAAATTGAAAAGCTTAACCCATTTGAAACCCTACCTCTCACTTGAAACCTTAATCCTCGCTTGACACTCTAATTTGAAACCTTAGCCCTCACCAAACCATTCATTGAAACCCTAATTATGTGATGATGGGCAGGCAAACTTAAGAAAAAGTCTCCCCCACCAACACGCCCTAACTCAAAACTCAAATTGTCCACTGGCGAACACTCAAAGAGGAACAAGCTTGACAGAGCACAGCCGGGATGGGTGCCACAATAACTCTCACGGAATTTGCACCTCTTTTATCTCTCTGGCCCTGTACATTCACCTTCATCGGTTACTTCACTCATAAACCAGCAGAAGGTCCACGTGTCCATGGACACATCACCCAGCAATAAAAAAAAAAAAGTGCAGTCAGTCAATAACTTTCTTACTTTTGATCCATTCACAGTTTCTATGGTAGCGAGCGGAAACACACACGCTGAGCAAACATCCCATTTCCACAGGAAACATCTGATCAAGAATGTGTGTGTGTGTGTGTGTGTGTGAGAGAGAGAGAGAGAGAGAGAGAGAGAGAGAGAGAGAGAGAGAGAGAGAGAGAGAAAACAAAAACCGTCCACTCAGTACTGTCAGTCACCAAAGTATTAAAAAAAAAAAACCCAATGCATTAGACACTAGAAGTGATGCTAATGATTTGTTTCTCCAACAAATGTTCATGGGTCAACATGACCATGTGCTACATGTTAATTGTCATATTTAAAAAAAAAAAAAAAAAATCCCCTGAACTGGTTGCCAGCCACTCGCAGGACACATATAGACAATATACTGTGTTACATTAACCGACCATGCATGTTTTTGTGGGAGGAAACTGGAGTACCCGGAGAAAAGCCACACAGGCACGGGGAGAACATCCAAACTCCACAAAGGAAAGCCAGGACCTGCCTGGAATCGAATCCATGACCTCTGTGCTGCGAGGCAGACGTCCTAACCAGTTGGTCATCTATCTATCTGTCTATCTATATCTATATTTATAGATATAGATTTCAATATATATAGCTCTCTCTCTCTATGTATATATATATATATATATAATTTAAAGATGAGTCATAACACCAGAAAAAGTTTTTCACCCGTTACCTTTTATGCATGTTTAACACTGCATGGCCTCGTAAAATTGTATATGGCCACCTGTTGACATGGCGTGACAAGTGCCTATATGCTCGAGTCTATTTTGCTCCTGTGAATAAATGAGGACTCACCATTTCACATTCCAGGAGGTCAGGAAGGGTGGGCCGGCGAGAATGGGGATCGTAGGTCACATTATGTAGGAGAGGGCACAGCAACAGAAGCACACATTAAAAATAAAATCAGAATCAGATTGTGTATTCATGCCCCCAAGTAGAAAGGTATAAAAACAGCTAGTACAGCACCTCTACATGTACTATGATGTATGTGCATAAATTAAACAGACGAATAAAAATATAGTTTATACCTGACTCTTCCCAAAAAAAAAACCCCTCCGGGCTGTGTTGGGGTCTTCTGGCAGAAGAAAGGAGTAGGCACCTGTAAAGTCAGCTGCATTCACTTTACAGTCAGGAGGAACCAAGCCGGCCTTAACCACGCCCCCTCCTATTCTCAAAACGCCCCTCTGCGGTGCTCCAAAACAGGCACTCCCACCCCACCACTCACAGCGGTACAACTATTTTTAAAGGCGACTTGAAGGAGCGCTGCAAAAAAAGGAAAAAAAAAAAAAATCCGCTGCAGATTGTGTCCACTAGAGGGCAGTCATGCTGCGAATGAGATACAGTATTCATACGCCATCGAATCGGGAAAAAAACTCAGACACATTCATTCCATTTGCTGTTCTACGGTTGTGTGACACATTAAACAACAGTTAGCAAGTAATTTCATTGGCAGAGTCAGTCCATGAATGATGATATGCAGTACAACAGAACTGAGACTTGAAGCATATCACTCCGCCTCACAGGTTTTCTAGTACTATCCCCAAAATATTTTAACTCTCCAAGTACCACTACCATGACTAATGTTAAAATACATGAGCGTAATTCACCTAAATGTTCATAAAAATGAGAGAGATTTTATTCTTAAAAAGTATTAATATTATTGTAACCGACTAAAGTTATGCAGTTTGAATACTAACACTGTGCTTGAACATAAAACCTGGAAATAAATAGTTAATGAATTAAAATCTATGTTCCACATTAAAAAAAATGTACCCACATAAATGTTGAAAAAAAACCCCGAGTTATTACAGATTAAATGCAAATGCACTTCAATTGAAAGTTAAAAACAACTGAACTGTACTGTACTTAGGCAGTGCGTCTTTCACATACCACTAGAGGGAACCCGCGGACAACTACTGGTGGTACCTTGACTGCACTAAGAATCTCTGTTCTCAACTGTTAATTTGGCCTACATCAACATTGGGTTGTTAAAACTTTGCAAAGGTGATCCATATTTCCAGAAATAACATTTCATTTGGAGTATGAATGTTTGCAGTGAGATAACTACAAATCTCCGGGTGTGCTCATGTAATTAAATGACACATTAGGTGGAAGAACAGGAGTGGACACACTGCTAACATGCTAATGAGGCTAACAAGAACACACTCGCCACGTCAGGTGGCTTCCCTTTCCATTCTTTGAATCTATTGCTTGTTGTGAAGCGCTTGCAAAATGTAAAACAGTAAATAAAGCATTTGTTTCGTTTTTTTTTTTTTTTTAGTTAACATGTCATGGTAATGGCTAACTGCTAGTTCCACGGTTTGCTTCTATTTGTCTGTATAACTGATTAAATAAACACATAATTAAATAAACAAATAAATCAAGGCTCTCAAACTTATTTTGTTATCTTTTAATGCTTTTCCATGATGCAAGTGAAACTATTTGGCGCAAACAATCTACTTCGCATTCGCTTGTGCACAATAGGATGCTAGTGTTAGGAGATGAGGGGCCAAAAGGGGAGGGTCGGTGGGGATTGTAGTTGTAGTTCAAAAGTTCGTCCACCATGTAGTGAAGTGTGCAGAGAAGACGCCGTCCCCCTCATGGAGGTCCACGCCGGCTCCTAAATCAAGCGTCTACCTGAGTTTCATCTTGACAAGTGTAGACTTTTAAAGTTTGATGCTACAGGTGCTTCAGTCAGTCGCCTTCCAGTAACGTCTGTGCTTGTAACAAGCGACATTCCCCCCCCCCCCCACCTCAACTGCAATACCAAAATAAAAGGTAGAATCCAATCCTGCATTTTGTTTTAAAGTCCATTCAACAATCATTAGTATTGCTCTTGCTACATTGAAAAAATAGAAAACTCACATCTGAACGGTTGAGTTGTGGTGTGTGCGGAAAAGGAGGTGCGTTGCCCTTTCAATCTTCATGAGGATGATGTCAAGTCTCGCTTCCGGAAAATATGAAGCAAAGACAGACTGTAGCTCCTTTCACACTGGCCGTCTCTGCAGGCATTTTCTCGCTCTCCTCCGCGTCAAGTACAGTTGTGTCATCTGCGAACTCGCCAGCTTCATAGTCTCAACGATGAGTGGAAAGGACCACCACTTTGTGTCCAAAGCCCGTTACATACTGCCCATGTAAACTGTTTTCCCAGCTCACTGCTCTTTGTGTAAGTTACTGGGATAATCGTCAGGTGAGGTAAACCCACACGTCTGATGGCATTTGATGTAATAGATGAGTGGCAGAATGGCAGCTATGTGAAAAGGACTATCCCCTTGGGTTAAAATCTCTTTTAACACTGTCCATCCATGGTATTTTTTGGTTTTGTTTTGTTCTGCTTACTATTCTGTATGTTGGGAACTGACGCTAAATGCAGCGGTGTTGATGTCAACCGGAAATTAGTTGGTTTCAGAGACCTAAAGGTTCCACAAAGCAATTTTTGTGTTGTCTTACCCACTTCAATCAGCTTTATTCTAAATTCGCTATTCTATGTTCAGTGCATCTCAGATTGCCGTTGTCCCACAGATTTGTTGACTCCTGACATAATATCGAAGGAAGCATTCCTTTGCGCTAACAGCCCCATTCACAATGCTGATCTCAGCCTTTTCTTGGCTTGCTGTCCTGCGTGTAGGCTACAGATGCTGGTGGGCTCACCTCAACTTGTGAATTTGTCGGCTCAATGGTTGGGCAGTGTGAAAGAGGCTTATGAGAGTTTTTGAACACAGGTGCCCAACTCTGGTTTTAAAGGCTACCTACCCTGCATGTTTTATATTTCTCCCTTCTCTAACACACTTAATTCACTTGACCAGCTAATCAGCGAGCTCTGCAGGAGCCTGATAACAATCCTGATCATTTGAATCAGCTACGTTGGAGAAGGGAAAACATTCTGGATAGTGACCCTCAAGGACCGGACTTTGACACCTGCTGCTTCGAATTTGCTAGCTTTCAACAAAATATGAGAGATATAACACCAGTTGTGTATAAGGATCAATACCCGAAACCCACTGGCCACACTCCCTTTTGTGGTAAAAGCAGTTGTATCTGTCTGATGCTAACCATGCATCTAATTATCTGAGGGTGTGAACCTACAGTGGCTATGTGGATATGGCCATATACCAGAGCTGAAGAAATGCCGTTTCAATGGTTAACAGTGTGAAAGGGGCTTCTAAGAGTTTCTCAGGATTCCTTTTAGGATTCTGTAGAAGTACTGGGTATCGCCTGTCCCTTGCCTTCCTGAGCATCCTCCTCCACGGTTGCCGCCGTGTCCGTCACTGCTACTTCCTGCTCGCCGTCCCTCTCTAAAGAAGTGTCGGGTGCTTCGAAAGACTCGCCCCCAAGATCGCTTAGTTTGAAGTAGCCCTTACTGTTGGAGCGCTCCAGGCGGGGACAGCTGAAGCGCCTGACCCGCTCACTCTGGTGGCACACGTTCACCGACAGGCTGCAGCGACGCGCTGACCTCGGAGGGTCCGTGAGCGAATTGAGGGATAGGCGTGAGCCCATCGCCCTGACGACCGGGGACGGTGGGAACAACTGGGGCGGCTCAGGGGCAGGTACGTCCTCGGGCAGAGGAATCGTCTTTTCTTCGTCACCCTGCGCTTCCTCGTGGTTATCCTCCGCCTCGATCACCACGTCTTCCTCCGCCTCGCAGTTATTGAGCTTGATGACCGGCAGGGTGAAGGCGTTGACCGAGGAGGTGACGATGGAGGTGGGGTCCCATTGGCGGGGCTGGGGGGCCTCTTCGCTGCCGTTGCTGTAGTCCTTGTAGATGCTGTACACTGTGTCAGTGAAGGTCTGTACGTCCTTGGACCAACTACGCGACGGACGCCGGAACACCTCGTCACTGCCCAATGCGGCAGAGGAGGGCCAGGAACTGCGGCCCGCCAGGTGGCCCCCCGATGGACCCTCTGCGCTCTTGGACTGGGTGTAGTTTACCAAACCGTTGAGAGGTGAGTACTCCTTGGAGCGAACGCTGTGCAGGTCTATAACCGTGGAGTAAATATCCCTCAGGTTGATGATTTTAGTTTTCTTGTCGCGGTTCTCGTGAAGGACAGCATTGGCGCAGATGAAGAGGAAAATCCCGATGCCCATCACCAGTGGTCCGAAGACTTTGAGGTTGTCGGAGTACAGGTAGTTGTCGAGGAAGTCGCACAGAAAGCCGCAGTGGGCATGGGACGGAGCCAGGTCGCTGCCGTTGGAGTGGCTCTGGTTCAGCAGGTTGAGAGAATCTCGGCCCACATTGGAGGATGCGTTGGGGCTTTGGGAGTAACTCATCCTGCCATGGTGCACCCCCGTCCGGCGGCGCTCTTGATATTTCTCCTGGTTCTGGCTGGGCCAGTACCCTAGAACAGCCATGGAAATGCCCACCATGAGGACAACCAGCCCGACGGCCGCTACCAGACCAGCAGGTGAGCAGAGGTTCAGTTTGCCCTTCACCACCACCACATCATTCTTCTTCTTCTTCTTTGATTTCCGTTTCTTCTTGTTCTCGGCGCGGTTCTTGGAGCGCAGGGAATCCTGGCGCCGGTTCATACGCAGCAGGCCGCCCGTGGCAATCATGGCGGCGCTCGGGGAGCGGGCTTGTCACTCGACCTGGAGGGGGCGGCACAAAAGGCAGAACATGAGGGTCGACATCGAGCAGATGGCAGACGCTTGCTGTAAACGGGAGATTATATGCGTAATCCTGATTTATCACAGCGGATGGATGGATTAGCAAATGAGGTTCCGCCAGCAGATGTTCAGAGGGAACTATTGTTTATTATACTATATATATTAAACTATTATTATTGCTCTTGTAAAAAAAAAAAAACATTGTATTTATCCATTATAATAAAAAGTAGTGCATAAAATTGTGATTTGCTTTGGGCATCACTGAACTTCCCAGGAGCACAACACACTCAGACCATAATTTGGCATTTACACAACCTTCTGGGCAACATTCGCATAATTATGCACATTTTGTCACGGGCTGACAAAGCAATTACGACTCCGAAGCCCCATTTGTAAAATGATTACATATGAAGCAATCTTGATTCTTACAGATGTTTTTTTTGGAGTGACTTCCAATGTGCTTTTGCCCCATGGTGACTCATTCACTCCACTGCCAAGTGTTTTTTTTTTTTTAATTCATAAGTAATAAAGAGCAGTACTGTTTGCCATGAGAGATCATCAACTTGGCCGCGGGAAAGGATCCAGTTTCATTTAATTGGTCCATAATTGTTATTTATTTATGACCAACTGTATATCTTTGACAATATCTCGATGCGAGCGATCTTTGACAATATCTCGATGCGAGCGACAACTAGTGACAGGCAGAACAATTCAAAGCTCTTCCACTAGAAGACAGAAGGTCCAATTAACCTGGGTAACCATTTGTTGCCAGTCATACAACGGCGTGTGTTCAACGAAACCGGCCCAGATTTTACACTGAGTAACATCATTTGTGAGTAAAATGAGATGAGATCATTGATTTTGAAATGTGTTTTGAAAGGAAGATTAGCCCTCCTTTTTTGGAGGAACATATTTGTCATTGCAGTCCTTGACAGAAGGATATCAGACAGTGGGTGGTAGTACTACGACTCGGTCACCTTCTGCTTGGAGCTTTTCACACAGAGTGGGGCAAAAAAAAAAAAAAAAAAAAACCCCAAAAACCAGGGACTTAAAAAAAAAAAAACAAGTCAACCAAAAAATTAACAAAAGT